TCTAGTGCCACGCGATAACCACTCCGCCATCGTGCCAGTCATGTTCACGTGACCAAATATTGCGATTCTATACCCTTGCCTCTGCGCCATCGAAGCACAACCGTTCGCACTTGGTCGGGTCACACTGGTCATGGCCGGCGTGTGGTAATTGTTCGTATTGCGGCGACACATTGTTCTCGGGGGTCTAGGGCGGGGTGGGTGGTTTGGACACCTGGATGGCGGGGATTGCGTCGTCGGCAGTGCGGCTGCTGACCGACTTGCGCAGACGCAGGCCCTTTTGGCTCTCGTGGGTGATGGCAGCAGCCTGGCTGACGAACTGGAACGCACCTGCGTCGGTGCTGGGCGCACGTGTGTAGCCCTGCTTAACTCTGCGCTGCAGAATGCCTCCGACCGAGTCGAGCTTGAGCGCCGAGGAGTGCAGGACTGCCTCCACCTCCTGGTCGGATACGGCCGGATCGAGCAGTGGCCGCATGACGTGCTTCCAATTGCCCGACCACGTCGATCTCGGACCTCGCCCAGCATTCAGCTCGGGAGGCAGTCCGGGGCTGTGTAGCAGCGTCATGCTTGGATTCGGCGACATGGGTACTGCCGCTCCCACTCTTGGCTCCAGCAGTCCCCCTGGAGAAGGGGCGGTGGAGGCCTCAAATGGCTCCTGCATGCCCGTCCCTGTGGCTAGCCAGTTCGGCTGCGGGTGGTGTGCGAGCAGCGACTCCCACTGGCGAGCGAGTCCTTCGGCATCGCGGAAGATGAGTCCGTTGGATCGATCGCGCACGAGCTCGTCGAGACACGCAAAGTCGAGCGCACACACGGGCAGCCCGCACCCGAGCATGTCGACCACCTTCATGGGCAGATCGAGACCCGAGCTCGAGGTGTGCAGCGACACGCCGATGTCCGCCCCGCCCAGCAGCACAGGGTAGTCTTGCGTCTCGAGCCACGCCGTACGGATACGCACCCACCGCCAGCGCTCCTGTTGCTCGAGCCGCGCGATCTCCGCGAGGTAGCGTGCCCGAAGCTCGCCTTTGCCCGTCACGATGATCACCAGCTTCGGCAGTGTGCTTGCTGGCTCGTGCGGCAGCGTCGCACTGCGCAGCGCACCCAGCGAAGGCCGACGACGCTCCTTGGAGGTCCGGACCGTCTCACCGTCGGATGAAAAGGGCGCGGGCGATGAGGGTGTGATGGGAGAGAGTGTGTTGTCGCCCGTGCTGCTGCGCGAGTGTGCGGGCGAACCACGGGTTGGCGAGGATTCGGCGAGTGCGCGCGCGCGGAACTCGTACAGTCTCGCCGCGCGCAGAAGCAGCCCAAAGTCTTCGTCCGCCGTCCAGGAGGTGCTGCTCACCACGAGCGCAGGCCGATCTGGGCGCCACTGCACGCTCGCCTCGCCCGCTGCTCCATCGTCGCGCGTGAAAGGCGTCGAAACTGGAACGCTGTACTCGAGCATAAACTCGTCGCCCAATGGCGGCTGGAGCTGCGGGACGAGCTTTGCCATGAGTCGGTGCGTCTCTTCCACGGTCGCCCTGCGAAAGTGCGCGGGCGGTCGGTCGTGCAGTACCGCCTTGTGGCCGTGCAGCTTCCACTCGAGATCGAGGTGGTTGCGCATGGCGTGCGTCACGAACAGATGCGCATACGCCTTTCTCCCACTCCACCTCTCCAGCCATTCTGCGAGCCTGACCAGCCGCGACTTGGCGCCGAGTCGAAGCGCCAAGATGGTGTATGCGAGGTTGTGCCAGTCGATAATCGCACGGGCGTTGACGAGCTTCGCGGCCGCCTTGACGACGAGCAGTGTGGGCAGTGCGGGCGGCGTCTGGACGAGGATGACTTCGGGCGGGGGACGCACCTGCGTCGTGAGCTCTGTAAAGAGCGAGAGTGCCTGCAGAGCGAGCTTGAATGGAGCGACTGCGATGAAGGCCGTGCGGGGGAGACGGGCGATCCAGGAGGGAGGGGTGCGCAGGTGGTGTTGGCGCACCGAAGGACGGCGCAGTGCGGGCGGGAGCGACGAACCGGGATAGCCGACGATGGCGACCTTCCAGCCTTCGTTGGCGAGCGACTCGACGTGCAGACACATGCGCGGGCTGCGACCAATGTCGCCCAGCACCACCACGGCGGCAGAACGACCAAGACAGCCCGACGAGGCCGGACGCGTGGAGGACGAGTGGTAGGCTGCCACATAGATGCACAGCGCCAGTGCACCCACCAGCGGGATGAGCGCAAAGCAGAATGCAACCAGCACGACCCAGAGCAGCATCTTGTAACGGCGTCAGGCGTGCATCGTCAGAAGGCACGAAATGGTGGAGGAGGGTCAGGAGGTGTTGGACTCTGCACGCACCGCTTCGACAAATTTCGGAAGCCGGAGTGCAAATCCAACACGGCGACTACACGTGTGTTCGTTACACGGGATCCATTCGCACCTTCATCATCCATTCCCCCTTGATCATTCGCCACAATGCGTATGGTAAGTCGTCTCGCTTTCATCCACGCTCGCACCTCCCCACTGAACCCACCCTCTTTTGGCCCTATCCTTAGCTGTCGGAACAAGAGGCCAACGAGATCGAGGTGACGTGGGAGGACCAGCAATCGATCAATGCCTTTTCGCGCCTCAACTCGACCTACGCGGACATCGAGGAAGACCTGCGCATCAAGCGCGAAGAGCGCGAGGCACTCGACGACCTCTCGATGGAACTCGAACTCGCCGATGAGGACGAGGCCGTGCTGTACCGCATCGCCGATACCTTCGTTTCGCTCCCCCACGCAGAAGCCCTCGAACGCCTCGAAGCCGACCAGAAACTCGCCGACTCGCAAATCGATCAGCTCGCGCAGAGCCTCGACTCGTACGACGCCCAGATGAAACAGCTCAAGGTCAAACTCTACGCAAAGTTCGGCGACAACATCAGTAAGCACCACCACCCTTGCAACGTCCAACGATCACCCACAACTAATCCTTCTCCCCTCCTCCTTGCCCCGTTCAGACTTGGAGCGAGACTAATGCATGTCCATCTCCCCCAACTTACTTTGTACTTGTACCCTACCACCCAAAGCCAACTTCAATCGCACCGACCACGACACGCGCGATGAACGACCGTATGCATTGACAATGTGCGCAGACAAGAAAACGAGCAACAACAACAGGAACGAGTGTAAAAGCGTGGAACTGGTGCCGACACGGGGAAAAAGTGAATGTCCCAAAGCCACGTATAGTGGCGCTAGAGGAAGTGGGGGGGAAATGCAGATGCCGACGCCCGCTCAGGGGTTGGCGAGGTGGAGACCGCCAGCGCCATGTCCTGACGCGGGCGAGCCGGAGCGCTGGTCGTGCTGCTGCTGGTCGGCGTAGTACGCCTGCTGCTGGTCGTGCTGCTGCGGCTGTTGCTGGCCGTGGTAGTACTGCGCGTGTTGCGGCGGCGATGATGCGGCGGCGTGGCCCTGGTAGTGCTGCGGAAACTGCTGCGGCGACTGCGCGCCCAGCGGCGGAGAAGCGTAGCCGCCGCCGTACTGGCTGCCGCCGTGTCCCTCCTGCGAGCCCTTGGCGTGTCCGGACTGCGATCCGCCGCCCGCCGACGCGTTTCGTGGCGCGCCGCCCACCGTGGTGGATCCGACCGAGAGGCTGTGCTGCAGGCCGGCGTTGCCGTGCGTCTGCGACTGGACGGGGCTCGTGTAGCCCGGAGCAGCGCCCCACGCCTCGGGGGGGTAGGCGCCCTGCGGCTGCCCCGCCCAGCCCTGGTGCGGCTGCATGCCGTACTGCTGGTACTGCGGTCCGCCGTAGCCCTGCTGCTGCGTGTGGTAGTAGGCGTCGTATCCGTCGTGCGCGTTGCCGTACTGGTCGTGTTGACCGTGCGCGTACGCACCTGCGCCTGCTGCACCTGCGGCACCCGCGGCACCTGCTGCTGCCCAGCCGGCGCCATTGTCGACGTTCTGGTAGTGGTAGGGTTGCTGAGCCATTTCGTGTGCCATGTCGTCCATCTGGATCTCGTTGACGTTGGCGACGGATCCGCCCACCTTGCCCTCGCCGCTGCCGCCCCCGGCGCCGCGACCGTAGACGGCCTCTGCCGACGACTCGTTGACGTGGTCGTTCTCCTGGCCAAAGGTGAGCCACTCGACCTCCTTTGCCTTTTTGGCGCGCTTGCGGAGCGGGAGCAGGATCAGCCAGACGAGGATGATGAGGCCTGCGACGCCGCCGGCGACGCCTCCGATGATGGCGCCGAGGTTGGGGCTGGAGCCGCTGGAGGAGCCGGAGCTCCTTCCGCTCGTGGCAGATGGATTGGAGGAGGTGCTAACGCCGGTGACGACGGCGCCATCGGTGCCTGTGCTTGTGTAGGTGACGGTGACGACGGGGATGGGTGTAGACGAGGTGGCGGAGGCCGAGGTGATGGATGCGATGGAAGAGGAGGTGGTGGGAAGAGCTGAGGAGGTCGAGGGGATGGTGGACGAAGTGGTCGGGGCTGCCGAGGAGGAGGTGGAGGTGGTGGAAGGGATCGAGGAGGTAGTCGAGGTGGACGAGGGGGTGGAAGATGTGGTGGTCGAGGAAGGCGTAGAGGTGGTGGTAGAGCTGGTGGTCAACCTGGTGTCGCTATTGGGGTTGGAAGCGTTGGCGGCGCCATTGGCAGGAGATGCGGCGGAGCCGGTGGTGTCGGTGCCAGTGCCAGTGCCAGTGCCAGCGGCGGCGTTGTTGGATTGGGGCGAGCGCGGCACACCAGCGATTTGTTTTGGTGGTGTTGATGGTGGTGGTGAGTCGGGAGCAGGAGCAGGAGCAGGGGCAGGGGCCGTGTCGTTGACGGGTGCGGCCATTGCGAGTGCCAAAATGAGAGACGTCGACAGGGAAAGAGAGTGTGGATAAGACGAGACAAGACTCCAGAGTCAGCGTGTCTGTCGGTAGCGTTGGTGCTGTCGAGGAAGGGAAGACGGAGCGACGATGGCAGAAGGAGAGGGAGGGGGGAATGGTGGGGGCCGGGACCCAAGCCAAAGGGTCAAATGAGCTTACCTAGGAGACTGGCGCCTGTAGAGGGCAGCGTTGGGCGATTGCGCGCCGATGCGTTGTTGCGGCATGGATGCGTGCGGCCGAGCTTAGCTCTGCTTTGCTTTGCTCTGCTTTGGAAGATACTGTAGAGCGAGATGAAGCCGGGTGGGTGTCCGATGAAGGCGTGCGCTACGCAAGATAGGGTTTGGAAGGTGGGTTGGAAATGCACGGCGCAACGAATCACAGCTCTTTTCTTCTCGCTGGCGATTGCGTTGAAGGAGCGGAGAGGGGCCGATGGGTGGGAATGCGTCCGTGCTGGAAATGCGTGGATCGGATGACGATGGTCAGCGTGACTGTAAAAGGAGGTGATGGTGAGCTTGCAACGTCGTGGCGGCGGCGGCGGCTGCAGCTGCAGGAGGTGATGATGCTGATGCTGCGCTTCGGACACGCCGAGCTGCCAAATCGTGGCCTGCGATCCGACTGATTTCGGCAGAGCCTACCGTTGCCAAAATGCCAAAGTTTCGCGGAAAAAAACCAAGCGCTGCCAATCCCTCAAAGGCACACGCGCACGCACACGCACACGCTTACTCACACGCATACAGGGGAGAAAGGGCCAAGCAGGGGGACAAAGGCATCCACCTCTCTCTCTGCTCGCTCGCTCGGCAAAACAAAGCTCGCCTTTCCAACACACATGATCCTGCACAGCCCAGCCGACCGTCCCGCCACGCGCAAGTCCGAGGCCTTTCCTCGCGCAATTTCGCGCCCCCCCCCCCCCCCC